TATATATATATATATATATATATATATATATATATATATATATATATATATATATATATATATATATATATAAAATTTATTTTTATAAAATATTTCACTTTTTATTTTTTATTTGATTTATTTTTTACATATTTTATTTTATATTTAATTATTATTAAGTGTTTCATTTCATTATACGTATTGTATATGTAGTTTTATTTATTTTTATTTTATATTTCATTTTTTATTTAATGAAATTTTATTCACAAAGCGGATCAATATAATTCAAGGTTAATTCAAGAACCCTTTTCTGATGTATATATGTATGCACTTATATGATCTGGATGTGTGATATTTATTTATGTATTTATGTATAATTTAAGGATTCATTCATTTCAATTATATACATGTTTTACATTATATGTACTCATATATTTAGTTATATAAAAAGTAAAAGGCAAAAGGTCTGAAACTAAATGTGTGATAACTGTAAAAGTGTCCAGTCGTCTGTTAATGTCACCATATTGGTCTTGCAGTGAACATATGGAGCGGACATCAGGAATGAACTAAACCCTGCTGTGTTATGCTACATTTCCATTAATACAGAACCAACGAGAGTCAAACATTTGCGTTAACCTACATGAGTAGCAGCAATGATGTTCATCCCACACTCGTGAATCCTGAACACACACAAAACACAATACATTAGATATATAGAAAACAGAAACCGCAAAAATACTGCCTCACACTTCACTATAATGTTAATTAAAGTACGCATGAAATCTAAAATTTGCAACGTTTGTTTTGCTAGTTTGTTTTTAAGGCGAACAATTAAAATAATTCATCGGAAATTTTTTTTTGGTTATCTTCAATCAAATTTTGAACATTTGCCTCCGTGTTTAAAGGGGCGAAGCTGCTCTGATGATGTCATAGTTTGACAGTAATATTTGTAACTACTACCGTTAGTTTGCTATGAGTAAACGAGGCACGAAAAAGAAAGCCTCGCCCCCTACTCAATATTCCGCTTCAGTCGGAAGTACATCAACATACTGAAATGAAAGTCTAAGTACTGGTTTCCACGACAATTACCATTAAAATACAATACGAACCGTAAAATTTTAACCATTAAGATTACGTTTACTTTACGATATTGAAATGCAATTTGAATCTAAATGCGACAAACTACATATCGTTGGACTTCTGAAGACTTCTGAATACATATTTTACCTCTGTGTTTAATAGATTGAAACCTACAATAAAAAATGTGGTTACGTTTACTGTATAAACCATAACAATATAGTCTAAACATGAAGCAATCATGACAACCTACACATCATTTGAAAGCGTAGAACGTCTAGTTTCTGTATCTGGTGACAACTTTTTTGTAGATATTTTAAAGTAATGGTTATTTGTTATTTAGCGACAAGAATACCTAGAGTTGTAAAGCATTACTTTGCTACAGCAATCCACATAAAATTCTAATCAAATACCATCAAGTTGCACATACACTGTAAAAGTCAACTATTGTCGACTTTACAAATATCGTCAAGGTTGATATTTCTGAAAACATACACAAAAATAGGGGGCGCTCTTGTATGCTCACCAATGGAAAATGAATGGTGGTCATGTTTGGTACTGCACCCGAACAATCTCTTACCAAAAAGCTAATTTCTTTTAGAGATATTGCCTTCAAATTTGGTATATAATTTGTTTAGAGGTTTGATTCAAGTTTAAAGTGGGTTTTGTAAAAAAATATTTGTTGTACTTCATTCGAATTTACATTTATTGGTTATTGGTTAAACCTAAAGGCATGTAAACTTTTGTTTTACTTAACTTCTTAGAACTTTTTTCTCTTCAGCTACATATCTGACATCTTACGGCGTTGAAACGCAATTTTAAATCTGCATATTAAAGTGTTAAAGATTAAATATTTAAGCTGAACGTGTAAATTTTTATCTATGTGCGAAAAATGCAATGACAGTTAAGGGGTTAAAAAGAAGTACACTTTAAAGGGGACCTATTATGTAAAAATCACCTTTATAAGGGGTTTAAACACAGTTGTGTGGCGGTAGTCTGCGAATATAACCAGCTACTAATGGTAAAAAGATATATATATATTTTTTTATTATAATCACACTTGATAAAAACAGTCTTCGATTGACATTCTCACTTTGTACGTGTCATCAGAGCCCCGCCTACTAGTGGCCATCTCTAACTTGTTAGCATAGGACGTTAGTCTTGTTTTTGAATCTGCCACTATGCTGACACACAGACATTTGTAGCTCCGCCCTCTTTTGAAAAGAGCACAATCTCATTTGAATTTAAAGCGACAGTCACCAAAAATGCTACCAAAAGGATCAAAGCCTAAAAAGGGGAGTTTCAGAGAGTTATAAAATATTATTCATGGCATGTTTTGAGCTGAAACGTCACACACACACTCTAGGGACATTAGAAACTTTTTTAAGATCTTGTAAAAAAGGAAATAATAGGACCCTTTTAATAGTTTCTAAAGGGTTTTAAGACATATTCCATAAAGATTTATTGATTTTAAACTAATCTACGAATATAGAAGGCAATAAAATAATAGCCAAAGGATCAATACAATTGCCATTATGACCATTAAAACAAATGTTGGTGATCCTCACCTCAGCACAGCTTTGCAATGGACACACGGTTTTCTCGACTTCGGTTCCTGTTTGACTGCAGCTGAAAGACTCACACGGATGAGAGGGGTCTGTCCAGCGATCTCCCACCTGAATACACCATACACACACACAGAAAACAATGCATCATGTGCTAATTTTAGTCACGGATAGTTATTTTTAAAACTATACAATAACAAAACTCCCTGTTGTGAGTGAACCCGCAAACTATTTCCTTTACCTTGTACGTCTTTCCATTGTACTCGCAAATCTTCTCAACTGTAAAAAAAAGGAAACAATACATACATTAAATCGATATTCTGCTAGTTATTCCAATCATCCGTGGCACTTTAAACACTGCACTTAAACCCAGAGTACCATTATTCAAAATATGTTAAGACCACTTCATTAATGTAAACATTACTATCATTTCAATGGCACAAAACTCTCAAAAGCTGGTTAACAGTAAGTTTTCCTAATATATATATGTTTCAAGAGTTCACACTTAGATACTGTTTGACAACTTGTTAGCAAGTTAGCAGGTTTGGCATGCTGGAGGGAACCCTGAGCTCGGAGATAGTTGAGCCCAGAGCTCCCGCCAGGTCCATAGAGCATGTGAGGGGAGTACAAGGTCAGGTGTTCTCGAGAGCTCCCCTCGGCAAAAGAGGAAATGAGGAGAAGGGGTGGATGGGGGAAGATAAGCGAGTAGTTCTTAGCTAGGTTACTAATAGTGAGTTTGGATCGATCCGATTGGCTAGCCAATGAGTGTAGATGGGTGGCCAGCTGCAGTCAACCATATCACATGCTCCTCTTGAAATTAGTTTGTGAAACTTCATTTAAAAACCGTAAATTGACTTTCCCAGAATTCCCTACATGACACTTCAATTTTTATGCTTTTTTGTTGACCATTTCGTTTTTTCGAGTTTTACGAGTTTCCAGGATTTGTGTGAACGACACTGAGCAGCATTGAAATATTAGTATGTTGTTCTGCATGTTTGATCTGAGCTTTGTTTTGTTACTTCAATAGTCCAATAATATTACAAATGAATGAAATATGCTAGTTTTCTGCCAAATTTAGAAAATTATTTTGCGTTTTCTACTTAACAGAAAAGTTCTGGCAACCACAGCTGCTGTTTTTTAACTATATATTTTAAAGACTTTCTTACAGTGTATCTCTATAATTCAAAAAGGCCTTTTCAAGAGTTCACACTTAGCTGATGATCAATAAAGCGTAATTGGCATGCTGTCATGGGAGAGAGCTTCTGATTGGTTAACGCGGCGCAAATGTACGCTGAAGTTCAGATTTTCGAATTCGAGAGATTCGAGCGAAACGCTCGTTAAGCGCATCAAACGCGCAAAAAGCTCAATTCGCCCTGCGCCATTCGCGCAATTTGCGTTATTCGCGCCGCGCCATTCACGTGTATCGCGCCGCAGGTTGTCTATTCGCGCATTTGCATTGACTTAACATGTAAATCACTCGTGCTTGACGCGCATGCCGCGTCTGGTGTGAACGCAGCATAATAACACAGGATTCAATGGAACAATTGTTTTAATTTAAACCAATTTTTTTGCATAGTTTATAGTTTTAGACTATTTACTTGTGTTTTGTTGTTAAAATAATTAAAATCTACATTATCGATGGTGTAAAAGGTCCCTTATGAAACTGAAAATAGTCTTATCAGTCTTTTATCGGAAGATTTTAGCAGCTGAACAACACCTCTGTGAAGATATAACCCGTTTGTAACAACATCTTACGTTACATCGGCTCTGCGTGAAGCTAAAACAGTTTTAAAACAGAACATTACCTGTCTAAGAGAAATCCCTGAGACATTGTGTCATCCTTTCTCTAGCGTGCAAAGCTACTCTTATATTGATTCAAGTTTTAAAAGTTTTGATTAAGCAGGTTTTTACCAATCGCGCGCGCGCCCTCTCTCGAGAATGCGCGGCATCAACAGCGGTCAGCGGAGATGCGTACAAACAGCTGCGCAGTTGTTCAAATCTGCATTTGCTGACAGACAGATTGGGCTACTTATCGTAATTATGAGAGATGACGGCCCGACTCTATTTAATTGGACGAACATTTTTTTTGTTTTATGCCTCACCCAAAATATAAAAATACATATAAACACATTTAGATCATTTACTGTAATCAGCACTATTAGACTGTGAAGAGACTTTCAACCAGCACAACAAACAATGCTTCTGAAGACAATCACCTACTGCACCTTTAACTGGAAATAGCTAAAATGCGCATGAGAATGGCCTTGTTTAAAATCGCCCAACCCTAAGTAAAAGATTACCGCAGATCTGGTTTCCACAGCAGTCAGAGGTCAGGCTGGAGTAGGCGCCACACACTGGAGTGGGTCCTGGAGGTTTGGGTCGGCACTCTTCAGTTCTGGTCTGGTTATTGCATGTGCATATGTGACAGTTTGATTCCCACACTGCACCCACCTTAAACACAGATGGAAGATTAGTTATAATGTTATATACAGTTATAATATATATATATATATATATATATATATATATATATATATATATATATATGTGGTTGCACTATTAAATAAACTCTTACCGGCATAGGCTCACCCAGTGGCCCTTTACAATCTGAAAAAAGATAATAAATACATGATTAGATTACCCAGTTTAGAGAATATTTTAATAATTCATTTTTAATCATGCACATTCATAATTATATTTACAAAAGTTTTTTTTCCTCCAGGAAAAAGTCCATTTTCACAGCAAAATGTAATAATACAGAAGTTCCACTGCTGATCATTTGATAATTAATAACTATCAGGCTTTATCATTTTTAAGACAGCAAAAATTAAGGGTGGTGAATAAATTAAACTGTATTTAAAAATGACACACTTGCACATCAACAATCAATTAATTATTAATTAGCACTGACATTTCAAAGCAATAATTAATATCATTACATCATTATTAGCGGTATTGTTACATAAAAACATATTTTAAAATTATTATTACAATGAATTTAATATTTAATAATATTTACAATTATTTAAATATTACATTTTTAACACTGTGATGGTAAAACTGTGATGTTAACAACAACAAAATACCATTAATATTAATAATAATAATAATAATGTACATTTATTCAACAATATTTCATAATCACAAATAATGTTATATTTATTTTATTTAACTGTTATTGTTAAATTATTAGCACACACACACACACACACACACACACACACACACACACACACACACACACACACACACACACACAATGACGGATTCGTTTTTCTCAGCCAAACCTAGTGATAGACATTTAACACCTAGCTAGCTGTCTATTAGCAGTGAAGCTAACAAAGTATTTTGATTTCTGTCAAGTTTAGAAGCGTACAGTTTTCTGCTGTGGACGCCATCTTGTGGTCAGACGTGGAGGTTGATTCTGGCATACTTAATGTGACAGGCTTTATCCTTTTCAAGACAGCAAAAATTAAGGGTTGTGAATAAATTCAACTGTATTTAAAAATGGCACGCACATCAACCAATTATTAATTAGCAATTAAATTTTGACTGTTTAAATTATGAACAATTGTAGCACTGACTTTTCAAAGCAATAATTAATAATATTACATCATTATTAGCGGTATTGTTACATAAAAAACATATTTTAAAATTATTATTACAATGAATTTAATATTTAATAATATTTACAATTATTTAAATATTACATTTTTAACACTGTGATGGTAAAGCTGTGATGTTAACAACAACAAAATACCATTAATAATAATAATAATAATAATCATAATAAAAATAATGTACATTTATTCAACAATATTTCATAATCACAAATAATGTTATATTTATTTTATTTAACTGTAATTGTTAAATTATTAGCACACACACACACACACACACACACACACACACACACACACACACACACACACACACACACACAATGACGGATTCGTTTTTCTCAGCCAAACCTTGTGATAGACATTTAACACCTAGCTAGCTGTCTATTAGCAGTGAAGCTAACGAAGTATTTTGATTTCTGTCAAGTTTAGAAGCGTACAGTTTTCTGCTGTGGACGCCATCTTGTGGTCAGACGTGGAGGTTGATTCTGGCATACTTTAATGTGACAGGCTTTATCATTTTCAAGACAGCAAAAATTAAGGGTTGTGAATAAATTAAACTGTATTTAAAAATGACACACTTGCATATCAACCAGTTATTAATTATAGTTCAATTTTGACTGTTTAAATTATGAACAATTGTAGCACTGACTTTTCAAAGCAATAATTAATATTATTACATTATTATTAGCTGTACTGTTACATAAAAACATATTTTAAAATTATTATTACTATGAATTTAAAATTTAATTTTATTTAAAATTATTTAAATATTACATTTTTAACACTGTGATGGTAAAGCTGTGATGTTAACAACAACAAAATACCATTAATATTATTAATAATAATAATAATAATAATAATAATAATAATAATAATGTACATTTATTCAACAATATTTAATAATAACAAATAATGTTATACTTATTTTATTTAACGGTTATTGTTAAATTACACACACACATATATGTAATATTATCAATAATCCTAAAAATAATCAAGTGTACATTAGACGTAATTTACAGATGTATTCCTGATCACTCACTCGTGCAATGAGACACGCAGATTTGCTTGTGCTCCTCTGCGAGCATCTGGCCTTCAGGACAAAAGCAGCCTGACCTCAGACCAGCCACAGCGGTTGCAGGCACTTGAATCCTGATAAATAAAACAATAAATAAAAGTATTGGTTATGACGATACATGGAACATAACACCAATCAGCAATTAAAAAAATATTAGTTCTTAAAAATAGGAGGTCCATATTTAATATTGATTATTTCAACCCAATTCTGGGTGTAATGGGGACTAACTCAAATGCTGGGTTAAATAAATAGGACGAAATTGAACCCAATCTTTGGGTTTGTCTATATTTTACCCAATTTGGGTTCAAATAACATCGCATTTCTTCCATATATTTGAAATACAAAGCAGGATGTGATTTAAAAGTATAAACAAACTCTCACCCGGATCGACAGACATCATTCGGAGACTGGCGACACTCATCGTACACCATTGCGCCAGGACATCTGATCTCTGAAAAGAGCAACACTTTCTATTACAGGCACATTCACATTCGCTCACTATTCCCTACATTAGTCCACTATTATGGTCCACTTAAATGAGTGAACATGAGTTTGAAGGATTGAAGAAGTGCCGTTTTGATGGTTGATAAATGACGGATTCGTTTTTCCTCAGCCAAACCTTGTGATAGACATTTAACACCTAGCTAGCTGTCTATTAGCAATGAAGCTAACGAAGTATTTTGATTTCTGTCAAGTTTAGAAGCGTACAGTTTTCTGCTGTGGACGCCATCTTGTGGTCAGACGTGGAGGTTAATTCTGGCATACTTTAATGTGACAAAATAAAATGCTATTGGCTGGTTTTTAAAAAGGGGAGGGGCTTCTCAATGTTTCAGTTGAGATTACGTCAAGTTTTGATTTAAAAATCACATGTCAAAGCACTTTAATATTGTACTGGTCAATTCTGAAATTGTTCTAAAAATTGTTGACTATAAATACAACAATGAAGACGTTGTTCTAAAAATTGTTGACTATAAACATAATAAAGACGTCGTTCTAAAAATTGTTGACTATAAACACAACAATGAAGATGTAGTTCTAAAAATTGTTGACGATAAACACAACAATGAAGATGTAGTTCTAAAAATTGTTGACTATAAACACAACAATGAAGATGTTGTTCTAAAAATTGTTGACTATAAACACAACAATGAAGATGTTGTTCTAAAAATTGTTGACTATAAACATAATAAAGACGTCGTTCTAAAAATTGTTGACTATGAACACAATAAAGTCGTCGTTCTAAAAATTGTTGACTATAAACACAACAATGAAGACGTTGTTCTAAAAATTGTTGACTATAAACACAACAATGAAGACGTCGTTCTAAAAATTGTTGACTATAAACACAACAATGAAGATGTAGTTCTAAAAATTGTTGACGATAAACACAACAATGAAGATGTAGTTCTAAAAATTGTTGACTATAAACACAACAATGAAGATGTAGTTCTAAAAATTGTTGACTATAAACACAACAATGAAGATGTTGTTCTAAAATTTGTTGACTATAAACACAACAATGAAGATGTAGTTCTAAAAATTGTTGACTATAAATACAACAATGAAGACGTTGTTCTAAAAATTGTTGACTATAAACATAATAAAGACGTCGTTCTAAAATTTGTTGACTATAAACACAACAATGAAGACGTTGTTCTAAAAATTGTTGACTTTAAACACAACAATGAAGACGTTGTTCTAAAAATTGTTGACTATAAACATAATAAAGACGTCGTTCTAAAAATTGTTGACTATAAACACAACAATGAAGACGTTGTTCTAAAAATTGTTGACTATAAACACAATAAAGTCGTCGTTCTAAAAATTGTTGACTATAAACACAACAATGAAGACGTTGTTCTAAAAATTGTTGACTTTAAAGAGCCCATATTATGGGTTTTTGAAAATTCCCCTCCATGTAGTGTGTAACACAGCTCTAAGTGAAGTGAAGTATCCAGCTAAGGCTTAAATCTGTAAGAATACAGTGTTTAAAACTGTTGATTCATCTATAAAAGAGTCGAATCATAGTGCTTCAAACGAGTCGCCTTGATACCGACTCATTAGGTGTTTCGCCATGACGTACGAACGAAACAAAGTTTTTCACGTGCACGCGCAAACCCGGGAGATTTCAAACCTGAGGCCCCGCCCTCTGACGCAGTAACCCAGACACACACACACACACACCCACAAACACACGCACACCCACAAACACACGCACACAAACATGCCGGTCGATTGAAGTCACACTGCAGATGGATATTATATTGAGTCTCTACCCAAAGATGAAACATCAGCATTATAGCCAAGCAGTTGGAAACTTCTGGAAGCTACATGCTACAAAGAATACTTCATCTGAGTTTGTTAAAGGAAGGATCAGTAAAGAGTAACTGATGGACGTCAGGATGGGTTTCTTCCTCCATTTCTCAAGTGTAAGTACGTGCGGTTAAAGTTGTTGCCTCGTTTACTCTAGCTTGCAAATGTATTTAGTTGTGATTTGTTACTTGTAACCGCGAGTACTGTATCAGGTTAACTGGATATATTATCTTATCGCGTGCAAAGTCACGTTAAAAACGCGACGCGTGCTGCTTGTTTATGGAGCTCCGTGCTAGAGTTCTGCTCCCGCGATTTATTCGGAAATGTATTCCCGCGCCGCAGAAATCTGGCGCGGGGAGAGAGAGAGAGAGCGAGAGAGAGAGCGAACGAACGAACGAGCTTTATGTACTTTGTGCTGTGTGTGTGTTTTGATACAGACAGCTTGGCTGTCTGGACTGTATACTGGGTGATATTTGGTTGTGTTCTCCGCTCTAGCGGGACCGGGCGCGGCGGGCAGAAAACGGAGCGGGTTCTCAGGCTAAAACCTGGCGGGTGCGGGCTGAAGCGGGAGCGTTGTCATCCGGAGGTGTGTGTGTGTTTTTGTGTGTGTGTGGTATGGCGAGTACACGACTGTCTCCTTCGTTCGGTTATCCGTGGCACTATCCACTGGCCATAGTGTGGCAGCTAAAGTCCACTTCTACACTATCGAGCGTGTATGAACTGTGATTACTTTTTAAATTGCTGATTAGCTATTGGCCATTTCCCTCTCTGACTGAAGGCAGTCGACCAATCGCGACAGACTGTCATCGGCCCAATCAGCGTAGATTAGCTTCGCGCTAAGGAGGGGTTTGGGAACAAATGAATCACTGGACGATTCATACAGGAGTCGCTGGGATAATTAGATAAAAATAAATGCAGATTATAAGACCATGAAAGTGTTTTTTGACCTTGCATGCATATTAGACTGTTGTTGGAGACCCTTACAACCAGGATATGACCTTATTTCATGTATAATATGGGCTCTTTAAACACAACAATGAAGACGTTGTTCTAAAAATTGTTGACTATAAACACAACAATGAAGACGTTGTTCTAAAAATTGTTGACTTTAAACACAACAATGAAGACGTTGTTCTAAAAATTGTTGACTATAAACATAATAAAGACGTCGTTCTAAAAATTGTTGACTATGAACACAACAATGAAGATGTAGTTCTAAAAATTGTTGACTATGAACACAACAATGAAGATGTAGATCTAAAAATTGTTGACTATAAACACAACAATGAAGATGTAGTTCTAAAAATTGTTGACTATAAACACAACAATGAAGATGTAGTTCTAAAAATGTGTTGACTATAAACACAACAATGAAGACGTTGTTCTAAAAATTGTTGACTATAAACACAATAAAGATGTCGTTCTAAAAATTGTTGACTATAAACACAATAAAGTCGTCATTCTAAAAATTGTTGACTATAAACACAACAATGAAGACGTTGTTCTAAAAATTGTTGACTATAAACACAATAAAGATGTCGTTCTAAAAATTGTTGACTATAAACACAATAAAGTCGTCATTCTAAAAATTGTTGACTATAAACACAACAATGAAGACGTTGTTCTAAAAATTGTTGACTATAAACACAATAAAGATGTCGTTCTAAAAATTGTTGACTATAAACACAATAAAGTCGTCATTCTAAAAATTGTTGACTATAAACACAACAATGAAGACGTTGTTCTAAAAATTGTTGACTATAAACACAATAAAGACGTCGTTCTAAAAATTGTTGACTATAAACACAATAAAGTCGTCTTTCTAAAAATTGTTGACCATAAACACAACAATGAAGATGTTCTAAAAAATGTTGACTATAAAGACAACAATGAAGATGTCGTTCTAAAAATTGTTGGCTATAAAGACAACAATTAAGACGTCGTTCTAAAAATTGTTGACTATAAACACAATTATGAAGACGTCGTTCTAAAAATTGTTGACTATAAAGACAGCAAAGTAGATGTTTTTCTAAAATGTGTTGACTATAAACACAACAATGAAGATGTTCTAAAAATTGTTGACTATAAACACAACAATGAAGACGTCATTCTAAAAATTGTTGACTATAAAGACAACAATGAAGATGTCGTTCTAAAATCGTTGACTATAAACACAACAATGAAGACGTTGTTCTAAAATCGTTGACTATAAACACAACAATAAAGACATCATTCTAAAATCATTGACTATAAACACAACAATGAAGACGTCGTTCTAAAAATTGTTTACTATAAAGACAACAAAGTATATGTTCTAAAATTTGTTGACTATAAAGACAACAATGAAGACGTTGTTCTAAAAATTGTTGACTATAAAGACAACAAAGACATTTTCTGCTGTGGAGGCCATCTTGTGGTCAGACATGGAGGTTAATTCTGTCATACTTTAATGTGACAAAATAAAATGCTATTGGCTGTTTTTTAAAAGGGGGAGGGGCTTCCTAATGTTTCAGTTGAGATTACATCAAGTTTTGATATAAAAATAAGATTCAAAGCACTTTAATATTGTACTGGTCAATTCTGAAATTGTTTTCTCACCACAGGAACCATTGGTAAGGCCTCTCCAGTCCACACAAACACCGATCTTCTTGCACTCTGAGGCGGCGTACTCCAGAGAGGAACAGGCTCCCACAGATCTGTTGTACGCGCAGTAGTCATATTGACAATTCTTCTCCACGAACGTAAGATCGATCCTTCCAGCACACTCCTCAAACACTCTGCAACAAAGGATAGGATGTTGGCACAGCTGGTATAGTCACAACCTATATTAATATATTACAATCGACCAATTAGATTTGAGAAACTTATTTACAGTTACACGCACAATCAGGGTTAGTTGTTTCTATATTATTGTTATTTAGAATAATCTAGCTATTATTTACTTCTAATTTTAGAAATAATTTATTGGTAAAGTGAGGTTTAGAGGTAAATATCAGGGTTTAAACCGCATGAAGAAAGACTATAGTATTTTTAACAAACAAAACTTGCTTACTCGTGATGCAGGAGATCACATATCGTAGGATTGCAGGGAGGTGGAGGTGGAGGCATGCTTGTGGAAGGTGGATGAGGCATGCTTGTGCTTGTGGAAGGTGGAGGTGTTGGGGGGACACAGGGAATGTTGGTGGGCACAGATTTGCAATAAGACTTCTCAGGGTCTTCTACAACCCAGTCGTACGCAGTCTTATCGCAGCAGGTGTCTTCCTCAACTACACCATCCCTTCGCATGCATGAAGGTCCACCACAAACACCTGCGAAGCCACAGGAGGTTATAACATAATCTGTTTACGATCTGTAAGATACATTGCGGAAAAGAAGTGCACTTGCTTCCATTAAATGTAGGGGTGCTGAACTTCACATACACCAGGGGTGTCCACACTAGGTCCTTGAGGGCCGGTGACCTGCAAAGTTTAGTTCCAACCCCAATCAGACACACCTGGGCTAGCTAATTAAGCTCTTACTAGGCTTTCTGGAAACATCCATGCAGGTGTGTTGAGGCAAGTAAGAGCTAAAATCTGCAGGACACCGGCCCTTCCAGGACCGAGTTTGGACACCCTTGACATACACACTCTAAGGCAGGGGTGCTCAACCCTGTTCATGAAGATCTACCTTCCTACAGAATTCAGCTCCAACTCTTATCAAACACACCTAAACCAATTAATTAGGACCTGAACAGCACTTGATAATCACAGGCAGGTGTATTTGGTATAGGTTGCAACTGAAAACTGCAGGAAGATAGATCTCCAGGAACAGGGTTGGTCACCTCTGCTCTAAGGACATCAGAGACTTATTTAACATCTTGCAAACGGGGCATAATAGGTCCTCATTAATCCACACAAATGTTGAATGGTCTTCATAACATACCACACTGTCCTTGGGTGTTGTTTTGGAAGTACTCTTCTGCCAGGCTGATTGTCAGACTGTTGAAAGGAGTAAGAGAGACATAGGAACGGATAGGTTTGATGTAGATGTAGACCTCGCTACCACTGCTTTCAAACCTGAAGACCTGATCTTCATACGGTGGAATGATAACCTCCTGGTTTAAAGAACACTGTGGGAAGAAAGAAAAAGACCACGGTTTTTTTACACTGGAAATGTGATTTAATACAGAGTTTAAGAAATAAGTTGTCCACATATTGTTCACAGAGTCGAATGTATAGATCAGGGGTGTCCAAACTCGGTCCTGGAGGGCCAGTGTTCTGCATATTTTAGTTCCAACCCCAATTAGACACACCTGAACCAGCTAATCAAGCTTTTTCCAGGTGTTCTAGACTTGATGTGTTGGAGTATGTTGGAGCTAAACTATGCAGGACACCAGCCCTCCATGACTGAGTTTAGATACCCCTAGTATAAATTATAGGAGACTAAAAGTGTTCACACTTGGCAGGTTTGGTTCAGTTAAAAGAAATCGCATGCCAAACAAATCTAAATTACATTTATATAGTGTATTTCTAGGCACTCAAATTTGGATTAAATTTGGAAGCATTACTGATTTGGAGGGGGTAGAATCCCATCAACCACCACCTCAAAATGAACCAAAAGACATTTAATGAACCAAGTAGGTAGTAAATGATAACAGAATTGTTATATTTCTCTTTAGGTAAACCAGGTTTAAATGAACCATTTACTTTTATTGGATCCAAACCAAAAGAACCAAACTTCAAGTGTGAACCAACCTAAGTAGAAGGGGTGGAACGGTTCACAAAATCATTAATTCGGTTTGTATCACAGTTCTGTATTCACAGTTTTCGGGTTGATTCACTTTACGATGTTTAAAATATCCCCCATTTTAATACTAAAATCCTAGCTTAGAGTTCACACTTAGCTGATGATTTATAAAAATCTCGTTTGGCATGTTGTCCTGGGAGACATCCCTGAGCTTGAGGGATCCTCGAGCCCGGGGCGACCTCACATTCGCAAGTTGAGAGAGGAGCTTGAGCTCAGGTAGATCTCAAAAACTTCCCCGCTGATGTGGTTAAGGTGACCTACTTTGGGAAGAAAAAACTGTGGGAGCTAGGCTATGGTGTCCGTTTGGCTTAGTCGGTTTACATTTGATCCATATCTTTAAACGAGGAACCCGAGGAAAACCCATGCGGACAGGGGGAGAACATGCAAAAACGCCAACCAGCTTGGCAAGGACCAGACCGGTGGTGTTCTTGCTGTGGAGTAACAGTGCTAACCATTGGGCAGCCGCCCACTCTAGGTGAAAGGGGGAGGAGAAGAGGAAGAAGGGGGGGGGGGGGGGGGGTTTCCAGACGAAGATAGTTGTGGAATGAAAATCGTGGTTGTTTACAGTGACTTAGGAATCATTTGATTGGAGGATTGTGATTGGCTAATAGGGAATCGGCTGTGGTCAATCATAAGCATGTGATCCTCTTTTAGAAATTTAGTTTAGGTAGTTTAGCAATGCCATACATCAGTGTAAAATACTTAGCATATAATCATCCATTTACTGTATTTTACAGTATGGCTGCAGGGCGCCATGACCATAGTAACGCAACAACAAGCGGCTTCAGGGGACATTTATAAATTGCGCCTTTTGCAAGCAGAAGTTCTTTATTCCAAATGGAGATTTTAAGCTTGTGGAAACGGAACTACACATGTACCGAGCCTTGACAATTTTTCTTTCATGAACCTTCCCATCCCTACTAAGTACATAAGTAGTCATAAAGTTGCTTTGATTATAAGCACACCTCCACAGTGTACTCCTCTGTCACCATAAGTGTGACAACATCATTCCAGTAGTTTAGAGTTATTCCCCTGGAACAGGAGTCATCGATTTCCGGAAGGCAGTAGTAGTTGTCTACAGTAATGCTTAATCTTTGGTTCAGGAGTTGCTCCTCCACTAGAGTGTAGGTGCAGTTCTCCATGAAGTCGAAGGTTGTGCCCTGGAAGGAGATGTAGTGCGGGTCTCCATAAACCTGACACTGGCCTGAGAAACAAAGCGGAAGCACACAGTAAAACGCAAATTGATGAGTTGTTGGAAAAGCAAAACCCTCTTACAGTATGGTAACTCTGATCAAGCTTGCGTTTGTACTGCCAGTGGTACCCTTACGAAAGTGAACCATGGTTTATTTGTAGAAACCATAGTGTTTGTAACACTGTACCAAACCATATCGTTCTATAGAAATGAGCCTTACTATCCTTTGTTGGACTTAGTTAGGAAGACATGTTAGGTAAGTCTGCAAAGGTATACTTTACAAGTAGTAAAACGAATCCTAAGACTTGTATGGCTTAATACAGGGGTCACCAAACTTGTTCTTGGAAGGCCGGTGTCCTGCAGACTTTAGCTCCAATCCTATTTAAAGTGACCTGAACAGGCTGATCAAGGCTTTACTTGGTATACTTGAAACTTCCATGCAGGTGTGTTAGAGCTAAACTCTGCAGAGACATCGGCTCTAGGTACATGCCCAGGGATAAATTTCTGGCAACCATTCGACATCATTGACAAAGAATTCACATATTTCAGTCAGAGGCAAGGTATGTTTATATGCAGGTCGGTTTACTTACAGTCACATTTCCAGCTCTCGCAGCAAGTCTCTTCATCTCTGACCAACGACATCATGTTTCTGGGGCAGTCCGTTCTGATTTGGGATGTGGGACAGCTGATGGCTTTTACCTCTATCACTCCGGCCACACAGGTTTTATCGGCGCAATTTTCTCTCCACGTTTCTCCGCACCCCCAGCTTTGATTCCGCATCACGTCTCTGCACTCGCACACTAATAGCGAAAAAAAGGAACACGAAATATTATTCAATTGTGAATTTGAATGTGAATCTTTGAAATTGTCGATGACCTAGATTAAGCAGTAGTAGGCCTTAAGGATTGTGTAGTTTTTTATTTGTAAGTTCAATGAGTAGTGCTAGTACCTGGAGTTGTCCCAGGTCCAGACGTCTGATCAGGGGATGTTGTTGGATTTATAGTACTAGATACAGGTGTCACAGAAGGTGTTGTTGGATTATTAGTACTGGGTGTAGGCGTTACAGAAGGGGTTGTTGTTGGTTTTATAGTTCTAGATACAGGTGTCACAGAAGGTGTTGTTGTTAGATTTATAGTACTAGGTGTAGCCGTCACGGAAGGAGTTGTTGTTGGATTCATAGTAGTGGGTATAGAGGTCGCTAGTGTTATATTACTTTCTTGAGGTGAGGATATAGTTGGTATGGTAAAAACTGGGCCAGTATATATCGGAAATTCTGGTTGGAATGAAAGAGAAAAACAGAAATAACAATAATAATTAATATGAAATAATAAGAAATTATTAATAAAAGTGTTTTATCATTTCATTATAAGATTACTAAGTTTGTATTTATAGAAAACACTGTTTATGTTCATTCTGGTTTACCTGTTGTAGACTCTGTTGTCACTGGAGTTGAATATTTTACTGAGGTTGAAGCTTCGGTTGTAGACTTAGTCGTTGATGGTGTTTTAAATGGTTGAGTTGTGGTCTCACTTGTTGGCGCTTGCGTTGTAGTTGTGTATTCTGTTGTTCCTTCAGTTGATGGTAGTTGTGTTGTGTACTCTGATGTGTTCTCTGAATTCGGTGGTTGTGTCGTCGTCTTTTCAACTGTAGTTGCATGCGATTCAGTTGTGCTTTTAGTTGTCGATTGTTGTATTGTGGTTGTGCTCTCTGATGTCGGTGGCTGTGTTGTTGTAGTTGTTTCCTCCACTTTGGTCATATATGATTCTGTTGTTGATTCTTGCATTGGGGTTGTGCTCACTGAAGTAGGTGGTTGTATTGTTGTTCCTTCTGCTGTAGTTTCATATGATTCTGTTGTGCTTTCAGTTGTCGATTCCTGTATTGTGGTTGTGCTCTCTAAAGTTGGTGGTTGTGTTGTTGTTCCTTCTGTTGTAGTGTCATATAATTCAGTTGTGCTTTCAGTTGTTGATTCTTGAATTGTGGTTGTGCTCTCTGAAGTTGGTGGTTGTGTTGTTGTTCCTTCTGTTGTAGTGTCATATGATTCTGTAGTGCTTTCAGTTGTTGATTCTTGAATTGTGGTTGTGCTTTCTGAAGTTGGTGGTTGTGATGTTGTTGTTCCTTCTGTTGTAGTGTCATATGAGTCTGTTGTGCTTTCAGTTGTCGATTCCTGTATTGGGGTTGTGCTCTCTGAAGTTGGTGGTTGTGTTGTTGTTGTTCCTTCTGTTGTAGTGTCATATACTTCAGTTGTGCTTTCAGTTGTTGATTCTTGAATTGTGGTTGTGCTCTCTGAAGTTGGTGGTTGTGTTGTTGTTCCTTCTGTTGTAGTGTCATATAATTCAGTTGTGCTTTCAGTTGTTGATTCTTGCGTTGGGGTTGTGCTTTCTGAAGTTGGTGGTTGTGATGTTGTTCCTTCTGTTGTAGTTGCATATGATTCAATTGTGCTTTCAGTTGTTGATTCTTGCATTGGGGTTGTGCTTTCTGAAGTTGGTGGTGGTGTCGCTGTTGTTGTTCCTTCTGTGGTGGTTTCAAAGGATTCGGTGGGGCTTCCAGTGGTGGATCCCGGAATGGGGGTGGGGCTTTCGAAAGTGGGGGGTGGGGTGGTGGTCCCTTCGGTGG